TAGTGTAAAAAACAAATACTTCGGTTTTTTTACAGCCACTTTCATTCAAGTTTAAAAAAAATAATTTAAAAATAATAAAGCATATTTTTAGAACTAATACGCCCTTATACAGATGAACATTGGAAAATAGTATTATAAAATGCACAAAAAATAGGGGGTTTTTGAGCTAAAATTAATTAATTTAAATCATACACATACATATGGCACTAGATTAAAAATAAGGACTTTTTATTATTTAATACCTACCAGACTTTTTGTGTCTTAGAGTTATTATTAGAAGTTGCAAATAATTGGATTTTTTTTTTGGATAACTAAATGTTATCGAATAATCATTAAAAAAAATTGGAAACAAATTTGAAATACAGGAAGATGTAACCTATTTTTTACAATTTGTGAAAAAGCGAATTAATTTTGATAGGGTGATAATTTTCTTGAGGTTATTAGCTAAATATTGAATACATCTCGAAGTAATACAACCTAACCTAGCCCAACCTTATCTATTTTTCACAATAAGGGTGAAAATTTCGTTGAGGTTGTTGACTAAAAATTGAATACATTTCAAAGTGATAAGCAAAACATTTCAAGAATATGGTGATTTATGACGTGATTGTACTTTGGTTCAACATTCATGATGAAGATTAAGGTTTTAGCATGTTGATGATTATTAAAATTCCTTGTAGTATTCAAAATTTTTGCATCAATAATTGTTGTTATAAAATAAATATTATAATGTAAATAGTTCGAGAGTTTTCAGATTAAAATTTCGTTTCAAACACAATAGTAAAAACCATTGTGAATAAATCAGGTCCTGATACAGGCAAATTTTCGAGAATTTACGACTTATTTAACATATTTTGTATTTCCGTTACGCTTTTTCCTCTGGTCTCAGGTACAACTGCGTAAACAAAAATTGTAGCAAGTCCCATAATTATCGAAAATATATAGAATGTTATATGACCCCCTAAAATCGCGTTCATTATGGGAAAGCTAAAGGTCACGATGAACGCGTTGATCCAGTTCGTGGTGACTGCCAAACCGCTTCCAAAACCCCGGATTTCTGGGGCGAAAATTTCGCTCATAATCATCCAAGGTACTGGACCAAATCCTATGGAGTATGCCATGATGAAAAGGACTAGACTTCCTAGTGGCAGAATCCCCAAACCGTAAACGTGAATATCGAGTAGAATGAGATGATAGTAGCACCCCAATGCGGTCAAACAGATCGTCATTCCAACTGACGAAACTGTGAGGAAAAATCGTCTATTTGCTTTATCTATTACCATAGCAGCGAAGTAGCAGGTTATCGTTTGTACTATTGAAACAACCACTGCAGCCAAATTGGGCGGAAGGGTGCTACCAGCAGACTTAAATATGGGCACGGTGTAAAAAATTACCGCATTGATTCCACTCAATTGCTGAAGCGCTTGGAGTCCAAGACCTGTGACAAGTGCTATTCTATTCGCCCTGGTGCCAAACAAATCCTTGAATCCCACCTTCTTGCTTTGCGCTAACGAAACCTCTTCGTCGATTACTTTCAGTTCGGATCGCACATTTGCGTATGCGCCTCGCAGGTATTTCAAGCTCTCCTCAGCCCCTTTTAGGTCTCTTATTTTTACCAAAAATATAGGAGTTTCCGGCATGAACCACAGACTCGAAGCGAATATGATCGGAGCCATGGCCAGAATAGCCGACAACCCAACCCAATTAATAAATGCACCGATCACATACGTAGCCAGAATGCCCAGGCACATAAAAAGCTGAAAGAAAGTTCCCAGCGTTCCACGGATCGACGGTTCAGCTATTTCTCCGATGTACATGGGCGCTGTAACGCAGATGGCTCCGGTAGCCAGTCCTGCAAAAAACCTTGCCGCGTACAGCATGTAAGCGTTCGTGGCGAATACTGTGAGAAGCCAGCACACCGTGTAAGGCACGACAAGCATTAAGTTTGTCTGTTTTCGTCCGAATTTGTCGGCGATGAATCCCGCTGGAATGGCGGAGAACAATGCTCCTATTGCTAGCATGGAACCGACAAGCGATCCTTCGGCTTCGGTGAGTTGGAAAGAGACTCCTGGTCGACTCGTATTCGTTCCCGCGGGAACCACTAGCTGGGGAAGTGCCGGGGAAGACCAGGCCAGTGTCGTTCCAGCACATATGGCTCCAAGAGCAGCTGGAACAAGAAAAATAATTAAAAATTAATCGGAAGTTACGGGAAGGACCCTTTATATTTAAGTTTCTCTTTGGGAAATAGGCATATTCCATGTTTAAGGCTTTAGTAATCGTCTTACATAATAATTTAAAATTTTTATAGTAAACTGAAAGTAAACAATGGAATACCAACGTTCAAAAGTTGAAATGCCTTATCTTGGTGAACATTTGGATTAATTTTTTTCCTTTCGTCAAATATAAAAGTGCGAATGTATGAAAGACAATAACAAATAGACCAGATAGGTCGGTAACACACCTTCTGAGGCGTAAACGACTAGTTGGAGGCATATTAGAAGTAGAAATAGGAGTTAAGAGGAGTATATGTAGACCTAGATTAGATTACTGTTCGGAAATAGTTAAGGATGTGGGATGTTCTAGTTTTAGAGAAATGCGAAGATTAGCTCAAGATAGGAAAGAGTGGAAGTGCGTATCCAAGAAGTCTTAGGACTGACGACCTCAGCATGATGATGTCGAATATCGGCATTTTATAATTATCTAACTGACTTTCAACTTCTTGTACATAAACCGTTGTGTTGATAGGTTAGCTTTTTCAATCTAATTGTCCATCTTATTCATGTCATTGAAAGTTGACCTTTGCCTTCATTCTTCGGAACTTCGGATATGTTCTGTGGTATTCCATTATTTACATTAAATTAATTATCTTCTTTTATCATTTCAAAGGATTAAACATGAGAGATTCGAATATAATATCTCATTAATAATAACAATAGTAATGATACTTCTGCAAACAAATCCAATAACTTTTAGAAACACTTAAAAATTGTGGGTGATGCCATTTCTTCAAATCGTATGTCATTCTACGTATGTATTCATTAGCAAATGTAATAATTCTCCGTAATTCACATTTTTTTTTTGAGGTAACGCCTACACGTGCATATAATCATGAGCACATGTCTGCACGGGATACACGTTTATCACTATCGGTGGTAATGTTTATTTAATGAACGATTTTTAGTCCTTGCTTAAATCAGAAAAAGGCGTTGATTTAAAAGGCCAGAAGTTTTATCGAAATTAATAAGCGCAATATAATATAATTTTTAGGTGTTTTTAAATGACAAATGACAAAGTAATTGGGTATCCACGCCACACATTCTTGAGATATGAATATACATATATATAACTAGCGCAATTAAATAAAATTGGCCGCGCGAAGCAGGCTGCGCAAACATTTGTATATGTGCATTAACAAAAGAAAAAAATCGTAAAGCTATACCGTTAGCGATATTTTATAGCGTAAATTCTCTGACGTTCCCATAAAACCAGTAGTTTATTTTGTAAAAATTGACTTCTAAGTAACAATAAATACCTTGCTGAATCGAGATATGTTACCGAAGGTATAAAGCTGTTTCCTTAAACATAATAATAATCGCAGATCGAAAAAATCGGTATTTATAAGTCAGAAAACAATCAGGAACATAGGGAAGAAGCACAAAATGTCTTTATTGATAAAGGGAGTGAAGCTTCACAAGGGGAATGTCCCCAAAAGTTTCTTATCATAACCAGCCCATTAATGGTAACAACTCTTTTTGTAATCACTCTTTTAAATTAATATTTCTAGAACTAAGATTTGCAAAATTCATATTGGTATCTACCACAACGTTTTTAAATAAATATCATTAAATAATAATTAATTGAATCTAACATAAATTTTTGTAAAATTATTTTGTGTTGTTTTCGATATATTTCGATCGTTGTTTCGTAACTAATGTTTAATTGAACAGAAATAGGCAAATTTTTGAAATTAGTGGTATAAGTAATAAACAACAAGAACATATAAAATGGCAAAGTAATTGCTGTCTTACCAATTGCAACTAATTACGTACTAATTATTGTCCATTTCTATGTGTGTTTAAAACTATTATACACATATACAAACGTGTTTTTTGTTAACGAGTAATAAGTGCCTGTACAACATACGTACCTGAAGAATGATTTGATGAAAAATTTAGTTTTCTAATCAAAAATTTTCTCTAATTGATATTTCTAAATCTATGTAAGTATGAAAAGCAAAGATGCCTACAAAGAAATGTGTAATTTCTACATGTTTGCTCAAAGTTTTTCCTTACCTGTATATCTACAAACTTATAAGTTGATGTTTAGAACATTCGGAAAACGATTAGTATTACATACCCCCCTAAAATCAGGCATTTTAATTTTTCTTTTAAATTTTTTGTTTTCAACTTTTAAGTAAGTATATATTTTCTACTAAATATAAAAAATATTTTTTATTGTTCATATTTTCTTCTGAACGGTAACAAATGCATTCTTTAGGTTGGTTGTTTGTATATTAATTTGTTATTCGTATTGTGGGGCTCAAGTGGAACTTCCCCCCTTGGCTGTATGCATAGCATATTTACGGATCATATACATGTGTAGTTGTACATGAATGTAACGGCTAACAAACGTTTATTTTTAATTGTAAAATTACCCTGTTGTCAACTAGTCAATACCAATTCTAAGAACATCTGTACTAGTGTTTTTTCGCCGGTTGACTTTCTTCAATTTTGTACTTCCAGGGTTACTAACCGCTTAAATGCAGTTCTTTTATTGCATAAACCAGATCAAGTTCACATCAGTAATTTTCAAAAACCGGCATCATCTTTTGTGAAATACCAGATGTATGGAAATTCGTACAAATATTTTCAATCGTTTTTCCATATGAATAATAAAGACATGTAAGTCCAGTAAACAATAAATAAAGTACGCGATGTTCAAAAGATTTTGTGAATTTTGCTAGCTTAGGATAAATTTCAGAAGGTATTTTCAGATAGACGTGGTTAAAAAAATGTATT